TTCACTCCATTGTCTATCTCTTTCATTCTATTTTGAAATGCTTCAAACTCTAAAAAGAGGAACTTGCTACGTGCCTCTGTTAGAGACGCCTCATCAACCAACACTGAAGCCATGTGAGATAACATACCATGTCGTGTGAGTAAAGAATTTCTTGATTCCTCAAGCACCAACGGGGCTGCAACACTACCAACTTTTGCGCCCTTCATCTACCTTCTCAAAATGTATTTACTTGGTAGAAGTAACACTTGTTTTTTCTTAAGGTAACAGAGAATATGTTGACATGGAGAACCCACAAATTCAAACATCCGACAACTGCATAAAACATAATCAGTCTGCAAGAAATAAATTAGCTCACGACGTTTCTCAAACAATTTTCCTCCTTCAAATTGCTCCAACCCATAAACTTTAGAATCTGAATTTTCTAATTTCTTTGAACAAATATAGAAATTGCTTTGCTCAAATTCCTTTTGGAAAACCAAAAACATATACTTGGTATATATTTCAACCATTTGATGTTCCATCATATGAACATACGTGAGCCTAGGTCTCTTGTTCATGTCAATGTGGTTTGCAACAAGCTCATCGTGTCGCTGGTGTCTCAATGCCATGGTGAAACGCGTGATGAAATCTATCAGTGAGTTCTTTCTATTTATATATCTCTTGAAAAATGAGTGGTTGCTCTCCGATCTCTGACTGCTAGACATCCCTGCATTAAAAACATGTTTAACATATGCAGGAACCCATCGATGGCGGATTTCATACATGCTACATAGCCAAGCATTACAGTCCAGGTTCGTGGTTTCCAAGATACCACTCCAACATTGCTTGAACTCTTCTGGTGATTCAGAATTCTTGATTATGTCAACCAAACGGTGGTATTGCTCGTTATACACAATCACGTTAATCTTCTTAGAGAATTTGTTTAATATGTGCCATATGCAATATCAATGAAACGTATTGGAGAACACCATCAATATTGATTTAGAAATTGATGCATCTTGATCAGTAACAATGATTTTAGGGGATTGATGATGCATTGCTTTTAAGAATCTTGAAAACAACCAAACGAACGACTCTGTAGTCTCATCACTGAGTAAACCACATGCAAATATTATGGTCTGACCATGATGGTTTACCCCGACAAATAGGACGAAGATCATAGAGTATTTGTTAGCGTTGTATGTAGTGTCAAATACAACAGCATCTCCAAATATGGCCTACGATCTCCGCGACTCAGAATCAGCCCAAAAACATTGAACCAGCCTTTTGTCCATGTCAGTCACAAAATCAAAGAAAAAATTCGAACTTTTTTCTTTTTTGAATGTGAAATACTTGACTAGTGTTTCTGCATCATGACCCCTATGTTCTTCTCGAATATTCCTTTCATCGTTTCTGATATCTCTCTCAACAAATCCAAGAGACGATGGACCACCTAAATCAATCTCCAGGAGTCGCACCTGCTGACATGTAGGTATATTAGCTTTGGCCAATTGTTGTGTAAGTGATTTCTTTGTCGTCGAAACATTACGGTGTGATCGGAGCAAGTGAACTCTACTAGGAGTAGTTAGCCCATGATTGTGACAACCCAAATATTCCCAATTTGCTGCTTTACAACAGATAATCGAGCATTGCAACCAACACGTGTTTGTCCACGTTTTCGTTCTCCAATCTGTGGCAAAGTGTCCCTATATTTTCTCTGCCAGCTATCATCCATTTTGCCTTCCTTCCTTCCAACAAACAAATAGCTTCCAATAGGTTTCGTTTGATTCTTTCTTTTTCTTGCTATTTGCAATTCGTGCACTAAATCCAGCTTCACAGGCATATTGATTATAGAACTTGTATGCTTCTTCATGAGACTCAAACTCTTGCCCAATTTTCGGTACTCGACCAATGGACACTTGAGGAATATAAATATTGTTTGCTGCTTCTATTTCACTTGGTGCTTCAC